CTCCCGTTCCCTCCCCTCTCCCCCTTCCCTCTCCCATTCCCTCTCCCCTTCCCGTGCCCTCGGCCTCCCCTTCCCCATCCTCATCCTCCACCGCCCCCCTGGACCAGCCAACCCCAAACCCTGCCCTGATCCCGAATCCCGGGGCGATCCCAAATCCCGGCACGGCCCCAAATCCCACCGCGACCCCAAATCCCACCGTGACCCCAAATCCCACCACGGCCCCTGCGGCTGCCGCGGGCAGCACCAAGAAGAAGAGGAAGAGCCGCTGGGGGCCGGAGGAGGACAAGGTGGAGCTGCCCCTCCCACAGCTGGTGCAGCAGCTGGATTCGCCCTCCCCCCTCTCAGGTGAGCGGGGTCGCAGTTCCTGTCCCATGGATTGGGGTTTTCCAGGGGTTTGGGGGGCTCTGGAAATGGAAAACCCAGAGTTCCATCTCCTGTTGTCATTCCTTCATTCCCAGCTCCGTGTCTGGGAGTCCCTGGCTGTGCAATCCCAGATATCCCACTTTTCTCCCATCCCCTGCCCCCAGTGTTGGGTTTTGTCCTTCCCTGTTATCCTTAAATCCAGCTCCTCCTTTTTGGGGCTGTGTCACTTTGGGAAGAGCTGGAATTGTGCCGGGATAAAACCCCGGGGCAGCGCTTCCAGCCAGGGATAAACGGGAATTGCTGTTCCCTGGGTGCTGCTGGRGAGAGGAACCTGGCAAAAGGTGTGGGATTGGGGAATTYGGGGATTTGATGGCAAATTCCAGGCTGTCACTGGGATTTCCTGAYCCTGGGTTGGGCCTCATGAGTTGGATTTGTTGGGATTTCTCCTGCTGGMCTTGAAGGRCATTCCCRCATTCCCACATTCCCTGMTCCTCAGAAAGCTGGGAGAGGSATRAAGCTCCTGCCAATGCTGCAGGCAGACTGCACCACTAACCCTGATGTCATTCCAAGGGGAACAAAATGGGTTTTTTTTTTCCCAATCCTGCCTGGGGAACAGCTCCTCATTCTCTGCAGCGTGCCCGGAGCCTGGCAGGAATTACAGACAGGATTGCCTTTTCCCTCATTCCCCAGCCCTTTATTCCCTTTAATTCCC